AACGCTGTGGCAGGCGGTTTGGGGGTTAAGCTGCACAGGACTACCGCTTACCACCCTCAGGCTAACGGTCTCTGCGAGCGCTTTCATCGCTCCATGAAGGCGGCCCTCAAGGCCGGCCTTACGGACGGTAACTGGGTCGACAAGCTGCCCTGGGTGATGCTGGGCCTGAGGACCGCACCTAAGGAAGATCTGCAGTGTTCTACAGCGGAGATGGTCTACGGTCAGCCGCTGAGAGTTCCGGGGGATTTCCTCCCAAATGCATCGGCTCCCTGGTCGGCGTCGGCCCAGCGGGCTTTCCTGCGTGACGCCGCTGAGGCCTTTGTTCCGATCCCTACTACTCAGCACGGTACTCAGGTGTCCCAGGTTCCCGCAGAGCTCCGCTCGGCGGAGCACGTGTTCATCCGGCACGATGCGCACAGAGGCCCCCTGCAGCCCCCTTATGATGGGCCTTTCCGGGTCTTGGAGCACGGGGTCAAGCACCTGGTGGTCGACCTGGGTGGCAAGGCCGAGCACGTCTCGGTGGACCGGGTGAAGGCTGCTCACCTGGACTTGGACCAGCCTGTGGTGCTGGCTCGACCTCCGCGACGGGGCCGCCCCCCGGCCTCGTCCCCTGTCACGGATTTAAGACCTGTTGTTCCGGTCCCTCCCCTTCCGGGGGCCGCACAGGCGGGAGTCACTTTTCCGACTCCCGTGCTCAGGAGTCGTGGGGGTTGGCGTGTCGTTCCTCCCCGCCATGCTGATTTTGTTTATGTGTGAATTCTGGGGGGGCTTGTGTGGTGACACGTTATTGGACATAATTCACCTTGCTTATTGTGTTGCCACACGGACCCTTTAGTGGGGAACACCTGTAGCTCTAGCTGCCATTCCTGCTAGCTCATCAGGCAGAGCAGTGCATGTGTTAACCTCGCTGAAAGTAATGGATAATAAAGATTGGAACTCCATTCTCAATACACCGCCTCCGACTCTCTTTTCACGGCACTACAATATACTGTTATTCCACACACGCCAAATGGATGCTGTTTTGTAGTTCTACAGACATTGAATATTAGCAGTTTATAAATAAAGCTGTATTGTATATCAGTCTATATATATATATATATATATATATATATATATATATACTGGGTTGATATGCAATACAGCTTTATTTATATACTGCTGTGTTATAGTCACGAAATACAATTAATCTATTTATACGTTCACCAACATGATGTTGCCATTGTATATATATATATGTATATACATATATATATATATATAAAATAACAATTTCATTATATGGATTCAACTTGTGCCCCCCCGCTGGACTTGTCTGTGGTTTAGCCGTTACTGTGACATCAGTATCAGCCATGGAAGATAGTTTGTTTGTTTCATTCTAAGCTATCCAGCAAGGTTATTTTCATTTATGTTGTTTTTTTTCTGCACAGTGTAGAGTCTTGTTGTGATGAGAGGGATGGAGGTATTTAATAAAAACCTTGCTCGCTGGAGAATAGCTAAAGAAGTCCTGTCACAAGTTAATCGGAGAGGATCACAGCTGGCCACGGATCTCGATGCTGCATTCGGGCTGTGAGTATTGATTGATTGATTGATTGAAAAGTTTATTAACAGCTTGTATATTGGGTACAGCTCAAAACATACAATTGTTAAGGGGATGCAGACCAGAGAAAGACTTTCGTCTTGTTTACATCAGGGTCCCCCATTTCCAATTCATCATATCATTTAAGACATATAAGACATATTTGACATACAGATGGCTTATTTACAATTTACATTTTAGATTTCGTTCTAATACATCCTAACCGGACATTTAAGACATACCAAGTCTACAGATATACAGTTAGTAACAGAGTCTAAAATGCGAGTATATACATAGATGGGGGGGGGGGAAGTAAACAACTTGTGTCTTATTTTTAGGCTGTCTGGAGGTATGGACAGCTATCAAAGCATCACATTAACAACGATGTACAAATGAAAGTCGGAGACAAATACATATTTGAAATGATTTATTCACGTTTGCAATGTTTTGAACAGACATCCCCAGTCACCTCATTGTCATTTTGTAGTCCTCGCTGTACGCGTCCGGGTATCGGCATCGCAACCACAACCTCACACACTGGTACTGAATGTGCATCAAAGTGTTCCTATGGAGCCAAATATACCAAAAGATAAATGTAAACAACAAAAGAAGCGATCGAAATGTGTATTTCCTGGTTATTCGACAATGGCTCCTCAAAGTACACGCCCCATTCCTACCGTTAACGTAACGTAACGAGTTCCCCGGTGTAACCAGTTAAACGGTAACACCGGCGCTGTTGTTATTAGAATCTGGTGCTAGCTGCTCTAACGGATATAAGAAGAAGATGTTTCTACATTAATGTGGAGGGAGAGTCCTCTCCAGTCAGACTGAGAGGCTGATACTACAGATCAGTGAGGTAAAGGACTCTGAGTGTTTAGATAGTTCACTTTAGTCTAAGTTCAAACGGTTTGGTCACAATTTATGTAAACACATATTTCCAAGGCACTCCTTTATAATTAATGGGATAAACAGGTTTTAAATCATTCCAATGTATACTATAGGACAGTAACCAAAAATATCCTTTAAAACTGGAGAGATAAAAAAAATGCATAAATAAATAAATGTTAAGGTAAAATAAGATATGAATGAACAACATAAATAAAATAAGTTACATTCATTTGTTATTGGCTATGGTAGGTTATTGGTTATGTTCACATACTTATTTGATTACATCCACTTGTCTAAGATCACAACAGAGACTTTCGACCCAAACCCAGCTGTTGACTTGTGGATGCAAGCAGCTAATCGCAGACTCAACCAGAGAGAAAGAAGTAGGCCTACATCATCAGCTACCATGTCTGACAGAGAGGAAGACCGTGAGGAGAACAGTCAGGAGGGTAGTGATGACAGCTTGTAGGATTACTGGTCGTGCTAATGTTGTCTTGTGTTCACCTCTGCATGTGTGTTCTGTGTGCACCTCTGCATGTGTGTTCTGTGTTCACCTCTGTGTGTTCAGCGCCGTGTGTCTGGCAAATAAAGTCAAGACCCCCTCAAAAGTTACGGTTTATTTCATTTTAAGGATGAGCACCAAGCAACATCTCCAGGTGCTCCTTTGAGAACCAGGGCAAAAAAGTTATGTGCACCCCTGGAAATAACAGTATACACATATATATACTATAGCGTGTGAGAAATAACAGTATACACATATGTGTATAGCCTACTGTTATTTCACACATGCTAACTGGAGGAATTATTTCTGATTTGAGTTACCAGTGAAGTAATCAAAGTAATTGTTTTTTCCACATTTGTTTTCACAGTGATGAAGACGAGTATCAAATGGCTTCTGGATCACAGCCATCAACATCTGCCTCATCCGAGCTACGACGTGCATCAGATCAGCATACAGTTGCCCCAGAGCCATCAACATCCAAGCTACGCCGCCGGACGTCTGCACCAGTACTAACTCAGCCTCCCTCTGCATCTTCTGATTCAGTGGACAGACTGTCAGGAGGAAAGTGAAACGGGCTGGTGTGTGGAAGACTAAGGTTGTTACCGTTCCTGACGCTGTGGTGGACTACAACAGAAGCATGGGCTGCGTGGATGTGTCCGATGCTTTGATTGGGTACTACAGCGTTCACCACAAAACCATGAAATGGTACCATTTTCTGGACATTGCAGTGGTGAACAGCTTCCTTCTCCACAAGGAGCTGCACAAGATGAGGGGTGACCCCGGCAGGACGAAGCCACACACCCAGAAGTCCTTCAGGGAGCAGCTTGCTGCAGACATGAGGGGTGAAGTCCCTGCAGCAGCACCACCACCACTCTCTCCCCCCCCCCCCCCCCCCCCCCCCATCATCACTCGTATGCATTCCCAAGTATTATGGGGAAGATGCCACCGCGCTCAGGAGGTGCTCTGATGCTGGCAACACAACGGTGAAGACCTATCTACTGCACTAAGTGCCTGGTGCCTCAATTCAAAAACACTAAACACATTCAGGTTGTGTACATTTTTTCTTTTTTGCCAGTTTTTACAAAAAAAATGCTTGTGGTGTTATTTCGGTTTTAGTGTCGTTTTTTAGTGTTATTTTTTGAATAAATCTGCTCCTGTTGGAGACAAATGTATCCTATGTTTCCTAATTGTTATTGTGTAAGTAAACCTTCCTAGAAGTGTTAGTCGGGTGATAAACATGTAAGGGCTGTGGCAAAGTCCACACACACACACACACACACACACACACACACACACAAAAAAATGTAATTTAAAAATAAAATTGTTTTTTTTTTTAAAAACACTTGTATTTGGATGGAATGATTACCTGTAGTGATAATACAATTATTTTTACAGTATGGTACCTGAAAAAGGTCAAATGGCACTGATGGTATCCAAATGTGCCCAAAGGTCAGTCCACCTGGACTACTTTTTGCTAAACCTCTCTAAAAAGGGTCAAATTTAACTTGTTTTGCCTCAATCTTGATACAGGGTACTTATTATATGTTATACTTTGGATTCCTAAAGCTTTTAGTCTACTAGCCCATCATTCAAGGGTAGTTTTCACTATAAGTAATGGTTTTTCTTTAGGCGGGGGTAAGAATTTACCTTTTTTTACTATGTTCCATCTGAATTTACTCTGACTGAGAAATATCTATATTAATTTTGACACTTCTACATCCAACTCACAGATGTAACCTTGCTTTGATAAAATAAATTATTCATATAACCCTTTTAGAAGTTAAGTTATAGTCATTTGTTTTGGGCATAGCATTTTCGAGCTAAAAACAGGCTCAGGGCTTAAGAGGTTAAAGGATTTAATATGTATCTTGAACTGGTGTGATTGAGTTATTTTTCCATTTTAAATATCTGTAGGCTAACTCTGAGAAGATAAATATGAATGTCTAGTTTTTTAATGAAGTGATACCACAGGCTGTATTTAGCATAGCACTGGCCCCCTGAATGTTACATTAAATAAACACTTTGGTATCGTACCGTTGCGTTTCCCTCCAGCAGTTCGTGAGCAGTGATGGGCTTGTCGAGGCTCGGTTTGCCCACGTAGATGTCTCCGTCCTGGGGGAAGACTGAGAGCAGAGAGAGGAGAGCCTCCGGGTTCACGTAGTTATCATCGTCCACGTGACAAAACCACCTGAGGAAGAACAGAGGAAATATACTCTGAAAGATGGTTTGTTTTAAGAGTGTGGGTTTCTATATTCCTGCTGTTGATGTCAGAGCAGATGATTCCAATGCACATTTAAATCCCCGTTTTTTTCATTTTTGCACAGAAGAAATCGAATTACAACTCCATACGACTTGCAGATTTGCTACAGGAGATCATCAAGCAGAAAGAAAAAAAAGTGTAATATCAAATTCTGCTTTATCTTTGCCTGAGTTGGGTTTTTTAATATGACTGCATGCATTATACTAAACTGAATCACCTTATGTAGGTAGAACATCTGAGTCTATCACAAGAAATATTTCCTCAAATCTCTCAAAATAAATGTTGCTTAGATTTGTGATCAAATATTTGAAACTCCAAGATGACTTGCTACTAAAGCTGTGCAATAAGTCCAAAAGATAACATCGTATTTCATTTCCAGTGTGGACCATATACCAAAATGCAACTAGAATATTGAACTATATTGGCACTTAGTCGTTTTTCTAAATGTAGTGTGTTCACCAGCCTTAAAGCACCTGGATATATTGTTCACTCGTTTAAGCAACTCACTGTATCTATCTACTATCTCCACCTATTTTCTTTCAACTGTGACAAACTTCTTTCTTAGAATAACGCAACTCTTTTAATTGTCATCATCCAAAGTCAGGTCATTAAAGGTGGGGTAGGTAATTCACTTCACAAACACTTTTTGTTATATTCCATGGAATGCTCTTAATATCTCAATAGCAATGAATACATGAAATGATTTGACAATAAATATATACAAATATTTCATCTGTGGAAGCCGTACTGTAAAAAGCACGACCAATCATCTGAGCCGGCCCGGCTAAAGTAACTGGATGGCCTACCTGCCTGTCAAGGCAAGGCAAGGCAAGTTTATTTATATAACACTTTTCAACACAAGGCAATTCAAAGTGCTTTACAAAAAATGAAAGACATTAAGAAAATGGCATTTTTAAAATCAGTCATTAAAAAGAAAAGCTAATAAAATAAACATTAAAAGAAAAAATACATGGATAAAAGTTACAGTGCAGTTTAAGATATGAATAGTTCAATTAAAAGCAGCGACAAAAAGAAAAGTCTTCTTGCTGGATTTAAAAGTAGTCAGAGTTGCAGCGGACCTGCAGGTTTCTGGGAGTTTGTTCCAGATATTTGGAGCATAATAACTGAACGCTGCTTCTCCACGTTTAGTTCTGACTCTGGGGACAGAAAGCTGACCAGTCCCTGAAGACCTGAGAGATCTGGATGGTTCATAATTTAGCAGGAGGTCAGAAATGTATTTTGGGCCTAAACCATTCAGTGCTTTATAAACCAGCAGCAATATTTTGAAATGTATTCTTTGACACACAGGAAGCCAGTGTAAAGACTTCAGAACAGGAGTGATGTGATCCACTTTCTTAGTGTCAGTGAGGACTCGAGCAGCAGCGTTCTGAATCAGCTGCAGCTTTCCTAATAGATTTTTTAGTGAGACCTGTGAAGACACCATTACAGTAGTCGAGTCTCCTGAAGATAAAAGCATGGACAAGTTTTTCTAAATCCTGCTGTGACATTAGTCTTTTAATCCTAGATATATTCTTTAGGTGATAGTAGGCTGATTTAGAAACAGTTTTAATGTGACTGTTGAAACTCAGGTCAGAGTCCATGACTACACCTAGATTTCTGGCTTTATCTGTTGTTTTGAACATTGCAGACTGAAGCTCAGCGCTAACTTTTATACATTCTGACTTGGCTCCAAAAACCATTACCTCAGTTTTATCTTTGTTTAATTGGAGAAAGTTCTGACACATCCAGTCATTGATTTGTTCAATGCACTTACTCAGTGTTTGAATTGGAGCATAGTCTCCTGGTGAAATTGTTACGTAAATTTGTGTGTCATCTGCATAGCTATGGTAACTTATTTTGTTGTTCTTCATTATCTGAGCCAGTGGTAGCATGTAGATGTTAAAGAGAAGAGGCCCCAAGATGGAGCCTTGAGGAACCCCACATGTCATATTTGTCAACTCAGATGTGTATTTACCTATAGAAACAAAGTTGTTTCTGTCCTTTAAGTAGGATTCAATCCAATTTAGAACTGTTTCCGAAAGTCCCACCCAGTTTTCCAGTCGGTCTAGTAATATGCTGTGGTCAACAGTGTCAAACGCAGCACTGAGATCTAATAATACTAACACTGAAGTTCTGCCACTGTCTGTGTTTAAGTCAGCCTTCCATCTGTGCACAAACTTATCTCGTGCCCTCATTGGTCATGTGCGCGTTCGTGTGTGTTGGAGGAGGGGCTCTGTGAGGAAGTGGCAGATTTGTTCCGGCTGTGTATTTTCAAATTCTAGCGCACTCGAGCTGGTTTCTCCAAAATGACCTACCCCACCTTTAAGTCACATAATGGTTGTATGTCGGGCGATTGTTACCCTTTGGTAGGTTTAAGAATGGTCAGATGTGAATGAAATCCATGCAGAGCAAAAAGACATCTGAAAAAGAACAGGAATGAGTCCTAAAACACCCAAAATGTGTCAGCACTGCCTGTTCCCTCGTCTGGAAGTCAATGGTTTACTGATAGTGTTTTTGGTTGTTAGCCTGAAATAAGGTATGTGGTTAACACAAGCTGAAGAGATATAAACGTTTTGTTCCACGACATAAAATACGTCAGTAAATACCCTGGTGGATTTAAAAATGGTGGTTGCTAACAAGTGTCTAAATGAGACGACTAAACGTCATCTCGCCCAACATTAGCCGCCTTTAGCTTAGCGGTGGAGACGTGAAGTCATGTGACCGTGCTGTAGTTCCTTTATAGCCCAACATTATCCGCCTTTAGCTTAGCGGTGGAGACGTGAAGTCATGTGACCGTGCTGTAGTTCCTTTATAGCCCAACATTATCCGCCTTTAGCTTAGCGGTGGAGACGTGAAGTCATGTGACCGTGCTGTAGTTCCCTTATAGCCCAACATTAGCCACCTTTAGCTTAGCGGTGGTGACGTGAAGTCATGTGTCCGTGCTGTAGTTCCTTTATAGCCCAACATGAGCCTCCTTTAGCTTAGCGGTGGAGACGTGAAGTCATGTGACCGTGCTGTAGTTCCTTTATAGCCCAACATTATCCGCCTTTAGCTTAGCGGTGGAGACGTGAAGTCATGTGACCGTGCTGTAGTTCCCTTATAGCCCAACATTAGCCACCTTTAGCTTAGCGGTGGTGACATGAAGTCATGTGACCGCGCTGTAGTTCCTTTATAGCCCAACATTAGCCTCCTTTAGCTTAGCGGTGGTGACATGAAGTCATGTGACCGTGCTGTAGTTCCTTTATAGCCCAACATTAGCCACCTTTAGCTTAGCGGTGGTGACATGAAGTCATGTGACCGCGCTGTAGTTCCTTTATAGCCCAACATTAGCCTCCTTTAGCTTAGCGGTGGTGACATGAAGTCATGTGACCGTGCTGTAGTTCCCTTATAGCCCAACATTAGCCACCTTTAGCTTAGCGGTGGTGACATGAAGTCATGTGACCGCGCTGTAGTTCCTTTATAGCCCAACATTAGCCTCCTTTAGCTTAGCGGTGGTGACATGAAGTCATGTGACCGTGCTGTAGTTCCTATAGCCCAACATTATCCGCCTTTAGCTTAGCGGTGGAGACGTGAAGTCATGTGACCGTGCTGTAGTTCCTTTATAGCCCAACATTAGCCACCTTTAGCTTAGCGGTGGTGACATGAAGTCATGTGACCGCGCTGTAGTTCCTTTATAGCCCAACATTAGCCTCCTTTAGCTTAGCGGTGGTGACATGAAGTCATGTGACCGTGCTGTAGTTCCCTTATAGCCCAACATTAGCCGCCTTTAGCTTAGCGGTGGTGACATGAAGTCATGTGACCGCGCTGTAGTTCCTTTATAGCCCAACATTAGCCTCCTTTAGCTTAGCGGTGGTGACATGAAGTCATGTGACCGTGCTGTAGTTCCCTTATAGCCCAACATTAGCCGCCTTTAGCTTAGCGGTGGTGACATGAAGTCATGTGACCGCGCTGTAGTTCCTTTATAGCCCAACATTAGCCTCCTTTAGCTTAGCGGTGGTGACATGAAGTCATGTGACCGTGCTGTAGTTCCTTTATAGCCCAACATTATCTGCCTTTAGCTTAGCGGTGGAGACGTGAAGTCATGTGACCGTGCTGTAGTTCCCTTATAGCCCAACATTAGCCACCTTTAGCTTAGCGGTGGTGACATGAAGTCATGTGACCGCGCTGTAGTTCCTTTATAGCCCAACATTAGCCTCCTTTAACTTAGCAGTGGTGACATGAAGTCATGTGGCCGCGCTGTAGTTCCTTTATAGCCCAACATTAGCCGCCTTTAGCTTAGCGGTGATGACGTGAAGTCATGTGACCGCGCTGTAGTTCCTTTATAGCCCAACATTAGCCTCCTTTAACTTAGCAGTGGTGACATGAAGTCATGTGGCCGCGCTGTAGTTCCTTTATAGCCCAACATTAGCCGCCTTTAGCTTAGCGGTGGTGACGTGAAGTCATGTGACCGTGCTGTAGTTCCTTTATAGCCCAACATGAGCCTCCTTTAGCTTAGCGGTGGAGACGTGAAGTCATGTGACCGTGCTGTGTTTCCTTTATAGCCCAACATTAGCCTCCTTTAACTTAGCGGTGGTGACATGAAGTCATGTGGCCGCGCTGTAGTTCCTTTATAGCCCAACATTAGCCGCCTTTAGCTTAGCGGTGGTGACGTAAAGTCATGTGACCGTGCTGTAGTTCCTTTATAGCCCAACATTAGCCGCCTTTAGCTTAGCGGTGGTGACGTGAAGTCATGTGACCGTGCTGTGGTTCCTTTATAGCCCAACATTAGCCTCCTTTAGCTTAGCGGTGGTGACGTGAAGTCATGTGACCGTGCTGTAGTTCCTTTATAGCGCAACATTAGCCGCCTTTAGCTTAGCGGTGGTGACGTGAAGTCATGTGACCGTGCTGTAGTTCCTTTATAGCCCAACATTAGCCACCTTTAGCTTAGCGGTGGTGAAGTGAAGTCATGTCACGTCTGCAGATTGCCTCATAGTTGTGTGCTATAAGTCCTATACAAGCTAAAATAAAGTTTGAAGAATTCCTTCCAAGAGGAATTCAAATCAAAGGAAAACAACACAGATACACTGCAATGGGTTTCATTGGGCCTTTACACAATGTCCCATTGTGTAAAGGCCTATTCCAAACCAAACACACTTTTACTGCATCATGAGCTTCTGCTACCAAACTGTCCTGTTTCCTCTGCCATCCCAATGGCTGCTCGACAACAACACAAGGCTTCCTTCCAAACCAAACAGCCTCACTTCATATTTCGTCCAAAAAACAAAGAGGGCCATGGAAACAAACTTCAATATCTGTGCCATCTTAATGACAAGACATCAGTCCAAGCCTTAGTCACACACCAAGCTGTTGAGCCTCATTGTATTTTCCACAAATCAAATATATGACAAGCTCAACAACACATTGTCCTTTATAGTTGTATATCTGCCTCAAGCAGGTTCATGAAATACATTAAACTTAAAATAATTCCTTATAATTATATTGACATCTCAAAAATACTGCTTCTCTCATGATTGCTATAGAAAGAAGTTAAATTAAATCTGCACCAAGCAAGCAGCGACTTCTAGGACTAAAAATAAAGCCTATTAAGAAGTGTCGTAAAAATGCATTCTCTTAAATATCAAGCAGGGGTCAACAACAAGAAGTTTGGTTGTATAGAAGTCAGTGGCGAACCGTGTCTATCACAACTGGACCTTCTGTAGACACACACCCCCCCCCCTCCCTCCGCGGCATTATAATGTCCGTCTTTTCACTGAATTGTCGTCTTGAAAATGGTACTCGCAACAATTCCGCAAAAACTTCATCTTCACCTGTTGCACTTTCATTTCAACGTTAAAAACAATAAAACGGCATGAATTGCTTCGTCGCATTCATCTAGATCAGGGGTGTCAAACTCAATTTCATCGTGGGCCACATTCGCATAAAGGTTGCACTCAAAGGGCCGGTTGTAACTATATAAATATATAATATATAAAATAATGTATTATATTACATTATTGCCTCTGAATTGGATTATTATCGGATAGGAACATAGTAATTAACTACGTCTGAAAGCAGAAGTCCAGGGCAAATAATTGCAAGTCTCTTCAGTGCGCATGTCACAAAACGAGATGCATTGTGGGACATGTAGTTTATGGGCAACCTGCTTCTGTAAATCGGCATGTAACCGTATAATAAACGGATTATATTTTTTGCAAGCTCTTGCGGAGCCACAGAAAATGAAGTCGCGGGCCGTATTCTCTGAATACCTTGAAGGCCCTGACGGTTCGCCACAGATAGAACTCTATGAAAAACGGACCCTAAATCTCACCTGATGTATTACCTCAGTCAGTACACATGTTCCCAATGGGCTTATGTTCTCAATTGCTAGTTTTAAGTGTTATACAATACAGCATAATGTTGATATCGCAAATTATAGTTCCATCAAGAGTAGAATGCATAATAAAGCAGCATATTCTTTAGGGCGTGGCTGTGATTGACAGGTCTGTGTTTTAGTCTTTCAACTCTTTTACAATGTTTTTTCTAATTAAAAAGTAACATTTTGGTCACATAAAAAGGTCTCGGTTGTGCATCCACCTTTTGCAACAAAAAGGCAGATTATATAAAAGTCTATGAGAAAATGACCACCAGATTTATTACCTCAGTAAACACTTTCCGATTGAGTTTATGGTGTCAATCTCTAGGTTAAATTCTTGTTTAGGGTTCAGTTGTACATAATCTTTTAACTTGATATAGGCAAATGTGTCAATGAACATCACAGATTTACGACACATCCAGCACATACAGAAAGCAATAGCATTCATTTGCAGATGTGTTTTTGTCTATCTTGCAAACCAAGAGTCCAATCCACTCTCCTTAGAGCTCTGTTTTTGGTCTCCACTAACTATTAAAAATAAATCTCAATCTCGAGCTGCTAAATGCTCAGCTTGCTTTTTCTTTTCTGGCCTTGGTTGTAATCTGGTTAAAAAAATTAATAAAGTAGGCCTGAATATAAAATCTATTTAAAAATATGTCTGTGTTTCCAAAGCTGTTTAATGGCAAGTGACCTCAAGGATAAACCTAGCATGCAAAAAGATTTTGACAGAATAAAAACAAAGCATTTCAAAGATTCTCCCTCCAATAAGCCATCATTAAAGTAATCCTCACCTGTGTGTGTATACGCTTTAGCAGCCTACCTCTTTAATTCCTCCTCCTCTCCCCACCTGCTGCTGATTTCCCCACGGTGATATTTAACGTTTGTTATCTTAATCCGATCTTTAAATCCTGTGTGGGCCAGGTGATAGACGTGATGTCTTACCTCTTTTCTGAGGCCATGAAGCCGTCGTACTCGGCGGACATCTTGCAGGACAGAGCCTGCTGGCTGTGGTCCGACTGGCAGGCTGTGACCACCATGTTGTAACCTGGGAGAGAGAGACAGAAGGTAAGGTGTGTTAGTACCAGATATGGCAAAAGTACACAAATCCTTTACTCAAGTAGAAGTACAGATACTCGGGTTTAAAAATACTCTGGTCAAAGTAGAAGTACTGACTAAACTTCTTTACTCAAGTGAAAGTAAAGAGGCTTTGAAATGTACTTCAGTAAAAAGTACCCATAACTAGCAGCTGTTTTAAAGAGTACCTGACCTCCCTTTATATTAATAGAACAATAATGTCATTGTTAGCTAATGAATGTTTCCATGCTGAACAACGGCAACATGACAACGTTTCCATTGGTCCCTCTTCTTTAGAGAAGACCAGGAAATGATGGATACACGGATCCGTGTTCAAATCAATAGGCACGCAATGACTCTAAAGAATAATGATCACGCATCAAACACACATTCAGACTAAAGGAATCAGCTGTTTGGAAAATGAGAGAAGTAGAAAGTACAGGTATTTGAGTTCAACATGTGAGAAGTAGAAAGTACAGGTATTTGAGTTCAACATGTAAGAAGTAGAAAGTACAGGTATTTGGGTTCAACATGTAAGAAGTAGAAAGTACAGGTATTTGTGTTCAACATGTAAGAAGTAGAAAGTACAGGTATTTGAGTTCAACATGTAAGAAGTAGAAAGTACAGGTATTTGAGTTCAACATGTAAGAAGTAGAAAGTTCAGGTATTTGAGTTCAACATGTAAGAAGTAGAAAGTACAGGTATTTGGGTTCAACATGTAAGAAGTAGAAAGTACAGGTATTTGTGTTCAACATGTAAGAAGTAGAAAGTACAGGTATTTGGGTTCAACATGTAAGAAGTAGAAAGTACAGATATTTGAGTTCAATATGTAAGAAGTAGAAAGTACAGGTATTTGAGTTCAACATGTAAGAAGTAGAAAGTACAGGTATTTGTGTTCAACATGTAAGAAGTAGAAAGTACAGATATTTGAGTTCAACATGTAAGAAGTAGAAAGTACAGGTATTTGAGTTCAATATGTACGAAGTAGAAAGTACAGGTATTTGTGTTCAACATGTAAGAAGTAGAAAGTACAGGTATTTGTGTTCAACATGTGAGAAGTAGAAAGTAAAGGTATTTGTGTTCAACATGTAAGAAGTAGAAAGTACAGGTATTTGAGTTCAACATGTGAGAAGTAGAAAGTACAGGTATTTGTGTTCAACATGTGAGAAGTAGAAATTACAGGTATTTGAGTTCAACATGTGAGAAGTAGAAAGTACAGGTATTTGAGTTCAACATGTAAGAAGTAGAAAGTACAGGTATTTGAGTTCAATATGTAAGAAGTAGAAAGTACAGGTATTTGTGTTCAACATGTAAGAAGTAGAAAGTACAGGTATTTGAGTTCAATATGTAAGAAGTAGAAAGTACAGGTATTTGTGTTCAACATGTAAGAAGTAGAAAGTACAGGTATTTGTGTTCAATATGTAAGAAGTAGAAAGTACAGGTATTTGTGTTCAACATGTAAGAAGTAGAAAGTACAGGTAGTTGTGTTCAACATGTAAGAAGTAGAGAGTACAGGTATTTGGGTTCAACATGTAAGAAGTAGAAAGTACAGGTATTTGAGTTCAATATGTAAGAAATAGAGAGTACAGGTATTTGGGTTCAACATGTAAGAAGTAGAAAGTACAGGTATTTGAGTTCAACATGTAAGAAGTAGAAAGTACAGGTATTTGTGTTCAACATGTGAGAAGTAGAAAGTACAGGTATTTGTGTTCAACATGTAAGAAGTAGAAAGTACAGGTATTTGAGTTCAACATGTGAGAAGTAGAAAGTACAGGTATTTGAGTTCAACATGTGAGAAGTAGAAAGTACAGGTATTTGAGTTCAACATGTGAGAAGTAGAAAGTACAGGTATTTGAGTTCAACATGTGAGAAGTAGAAAGTACAGGTATTGTGTTTCAACATGTGAGAAGTAGGAAAAGTACAGGTATTTGTGTTCAACATGTAAGAAGTAGAAAAGTACAGGTATTTGTGTTCAACATGTAAGAAGTAGAAGTTACAGGTATTTGAGTTCAATATGTACGAATAGTAGAAGTACAGGTATTGTGTTCAACTGTAAGAAGTAGAAAGTACAGGTATTTGTGTTTCATACAGTAAGAAGTAGAAAGTACAGGTATTTGTGTTCAACATGTAAGACAGTAGAAAGTACAGGTATTGAGTTCAACATGTAAGAAGTAGAAAGTACAGGTATTTGTGTTCAACATGTGAAGAAGTAGAAAATTACAGGTATTTGAGTTCAACATGTAAGAAGTAGAAAGTACAGGTATTTGAGTTTCAAATGTAAGAAGTTAGAAAGAGTACAGGTATTTGAGTTCAATATGTAAGAAGTAGAAAGTACAGGTATTTGTGTT